TCACCTGGTTGGTTCCTTTAATTTTTCTTGAAAACTAAGTCATCATTTACTCACCCTGGTGTTGTTCTAATGCCATATGCCCTTTCTTTTTTAAAGTAGGCTACCGCTCGCGCTCTGCATCAAGCTTTTAAAAAAAAGACACACAAGTTCCACAGAATGGTCCCATGCAACATGTCGTATATTCCAAGTGTTAAGGGGTATACAATTAGCCTGGCTCCGCCCTCCTACGCACTTCCGCTCAATTTTATTTTCCTTCAGTACTACGTCTGGGATTGTGCTGTAGACTTTGGTTTCCAGAAATAATTTTTTTACCGGTCCAATCAGCGAACAGAGGGAGTGGCTGAGAACGATGACGTTGATGTAGCGCGTCAGTTTGAGTTGGAGTTCAGTAATGGCAGCGGAGAAAGACGTGAGAAAATCTATTCGGTCCGTTGTTGCAAAACTGCCGAATATCCAGAAGTTAAAGCCGGAGCAAGATCAATGTTTGCTAAGTGTTGTTGGTGGCCATGATGTTGTGGCCCTCCTCCCCACGGGGTTCGGGAAAAGTTTAATTTTCCAGCTCACTCCGCTAGTGGTGAATGAGTTAGCTAAGGCGAACGATAGGATGCAAAGCCGATAGTTGTTGTCGTCTCCTCTTGTTGCACTAATGGAGGACCAAGTGAGGGAGGCAGAAAGGTTAGGAGTTGGTGCTGGGCAGCTCGGCGTGCACGATGATCACTGTACAGCATTTGCGGCAGATCCGAAACGACCGCAGCGGCGTATTGTTAATGATTACACCCAGCTTCGACAGTTGACTGAATACATTACTGTCCTTAGTGTCAAATATACATTTAGAATTTAGAATTGTTCCTTGAACTCTTAAATTCGATGAACAAAACATGCAGCTCTCGTTGACAGACATCTTATTCTAAACATAATCCTCTGATCATTCGGACTTGTTTTTTTGTATTGCTTAAAACAATACACAAGTAATAACAGAAAACATAATACAAAAACAAACAAAAAATAATAATAAAAACAAAACAAAAATAAAACAGTAGGGGGATAATATAAAATAAACATGAACAAGTTAAGAGAATTACATGACACTGAAAAAAGGAAAATAATTACAAACAGATAATGTTTTTAAGGCTTTTTTTGTTCTCAGACAACTTAATTGAAAAGAGGTATTTTTAAAATTCTTCCACAAATATAAGAAAGAGAGGTTTAGCATTTAGATTTATGAATATGGAATTCGGACTTGTTGTTTCCAGCCGGTTTCGGCGCATGACATACGTCACGACCACACGTTAGCGATTGGCTATGGCAGATCCTGAGTGACGCTGGGCAGATCCAATAGTTTTGAACTTTAACAGAGAACCCGCCTACAAGGAAGTAAACGTTTCTCAATGGAGCGAGGCCAGACTCTCTGTACAAATGAAATGTACGAGAGTCTGGTAGAACCAGGCTAGTATACAATAGGATTTAAGAAAAAAAAAACAATGCACTGTTTAATGAAAATCCTGACCTTGGCCATTGGTCTTTTGTGCACAACTGCACGTTCATGAGACTGTATTAGTGCCACAGTTCACTGCGACTCGCACAGAAAAAGCACACAAGTGAGAAATAAAGGTGAATAAAAATGCAACATGAAGAGAAACAAGCGCGCAGCCATCTTTAGAATATTGTCTTTGAACTTCTGTTTTTGGAGTAGCCCTGTATATTTCTATGACATCGTCGTACAGGAATAATTAGCTGGTGAAGTGGATTCCCTTATTGTAGAGATTTTTCAGCTGTGTTTGATTAGGGATGGAGCTAAACTCTGCAGGACAGTGGCCCTCCAGGACAGGAGTTATCCTGCCTAGAAAAAGAAGTTCGATACGAGACCAGCGGTATACTGTTAGCAAACATCCTGACGCCACCCACACTGCTGAGAGTTCAGAAAAAATATGTAAATATGTGCTGCTCGCTTTCCTCTCAATAACAAATTAAAAACACAACAAAACGAAAGAAAAAAGCAGTTAAGAAAGCATCTGATCATTGCGATGTGGGTATGTTTGCAATAGCTTTGCAATTCAATTCACTCAAGTCAAGTCATATTTATTTATATAGCCTAACCTTTTATACAATGCTTTAAAGGAAGCAGCTTTACAGTATTAAACATAAAAAACTGTGTCAGTGTCACTTTCATTTAGACAACTTCAATTTCTACTAAAGTAGCTATGTTTTTACTCGCGTCTAACCTCAACGGACTAAACAGAAGAAATGAACCAGAGATTTCCATGTCAAAGGTGGAGCCTCAGACTCATACCTGTTGCGTAATAACCACAGACTAATAGAGTGGTGCAGGTATGATATCACTTTGTAGGCCAGAACGCGGAAGCAAGTTAGCATTTTAGCACTTCTGGTTCCATCGTCCCGAAGTCAAGGACACTTTCACGTTTTATTCTACGACATAAAAACACACCAGTATTAACACACTCATGATTTTTTGAAGCTGTTAAGTGTCTTGAAAAAGGCGGTTGCTAACAAGTGGCTAAATGGGACTACAGAGGCTGTCGAGGAGATTAAACAGGTAACTCAATCGGCTTTTACAGCATTGTTATATTTATAATTGAGCTCTTACAAACTATTTTAACTCAAATTTACTGGGAATATGTTTTTGAATAAAGACTGAAAGAGTTGTCGGAAGCTTAGTCATGGTGACGTCGAATTCATGGGACCGTGGTGTAGTTCATTTATAGCCTACCTTTAGATTTTTATTTCTGGCGATTGCATTTAGGCTTCAAAATTCATAAAAGTTGTGTCCACCTGTGATAATTATCTTGATGGACAAAACATACGCAAGTATCATAAGCTTTTGTTGATCACAGAGATTGTTTTTAGCGATAATTCAAAAGCCTATGGGAAAATCCTATTGGGTTTTTGTCGAGAGAACCAGTGTGATGCTAACGGCCGGTTGTGACGTCATACCTGCACCACTCTATGGTAGTTGGAAGGCGTTTACCAGCCGGAGCAAACTTTTTCTGAACTTTTCCTAACTCCCGAAATTAGCTCCAAATTAACTTAATTTGGGGTGTTTTTGTTCTAAATGGCAATTTACTTTTTCACATTTACTTCTATCTCTCTGAAGATGTCTACCCCCCTCGCCACCTTGTGTGCTGCTGTCAGTTACCAAGTGACTATAAACATGCCCTCCACCCCCTTCCCTTTGTCACCCCTCACTCTATTTATCTCCTCTTCCTTTTCTTATTCGTTGCAAAGAAGGCCACATGTAGTCTCAGAGGGGGTTCTGAGTAATACAGAACTCAGAATACCTCTTACTAATAACTAGATCTCTGTTTGCCAAGGTTAAGGAGTTTCCTGTTACGGCAGACTTTGAACAATTCAAGATCAACCGATGAACAGCATCTAAGTTCTAGTAAATATATATATATATACTGTATATACAGTGTTATATTTAAATAATCTCAAGAATCATTGTAATGGCATTAATTCAAGAAACGTTAAAAGGTCAAAAGATCAAAAGCACTGACACTTATCAAAGAAAATTACCTCACCTCAAAAGGTTTATTATCAGAAATCAATGCAATCGCAATCAGATCAACTGTTCCGGAGAATCAATGGTAATCAATGAGAATCAGCTCAGGGGCCAGTTGCGTAAATATAGCCATTATGTCAAGACAGTGTTTTAAGATCTACTGTAGTATGAGCCAAGAAGTTAGTCAAGGGGCAGTCAGTCTTACTTTTCGGTATCAAATTAGGCCAAAAAAAAAAAGAATGACTAACTTGTAAGACTAGTCTTAGCGGTTTATGCAACTAGCCCCTTCTCTTTAAGTTAGCAAAATGAAGTGAAACTGTGTGACTTCCAAGAAAGCATTCCGGTCGTATTTGCAGCATGAAAGAATGAGAGATTCCATGTTTACGATACGCTGACTTCTACGGTACTCCTCCACGTAATGACGCCGTTAACAGCAACTGTGCCAATAACACACTTGAGACTCAGGCCACACACATTCATTGGGTTCGCTGACCTCTGCTCAACGTTTCCCCTTTTTCTTATTGCCTTAAATGTCATGTCATTGCCATTTACTGGTCTGTCCCCTTCTGAGTTACATTTCTTTACTTTTTTTCATTTTTTAAAAACAACAGAAGAAATAATATTAACATACAAAAGATAATGAATAAAAGTAAATTAATGAAATGGCATCTCAAATGACATTCAAATAAAAATAGGCCTAATGCTGTTTGTTTATAGGCTGCTACTGTATGAGCATTCATTTAAGAGCTTGCCTATGCATTCTTTGATTCCATCTAGAAAGTGACCCATGTAGGCTATGTCTCTTTTATATATGCTACACTTTCATCTGCCGCTGTCCCATCTCCAAAGCAAAAAGATCCTGATCCTGCTTAGTTCATCTTTTCTGTGTCAATTTCACCCTTAACCTCTGTTTTCCCAGTTCAATCCTCTTTGCTCATTCTCTCTCCCTCTCTCTCCATGAAGTCATGTTTTTAAACAGAACTCCATAGGCAAGAAAAGCAGCAGGTCCTCAAAAAGGTCTCAGGTAGCACAGGGGCCCCTGGAGATTACAGATATAGGGTCAGACACAAAGAGCTTTCTTTCGCACACTCAATTACACATTCTCAACATCCAAATAGAATTTCCTTCTCCTAAACCTTTCTTCACTCTTAACGGCTGTCATTGTTTACAGAAAGAACAGACCGGGTTACGCGCACACACGCACACGCACAATTAAGTATTTAACAACGTAAGGGATTATTAAACATTTCAGTTTTCTGAACTGATATATAAAAAGAACCTGTACAATGCACGAAAAGTACATAACGTTACGTGTCCGCTTATTGATATTTGGTCGACGAAGAAGCACTTAACCGGTGTTCTCCTGTTACTCTTTTCCTTTATTTTTTCTCTTTTCATTGTGATTGTTTTAACTGTACCAGACAGTCAATGAGTGGTCCCACTTAATAAAAACAGTTTGTAGTAACTTTTAGTGACTTACTTGTCCGCTGTGATGTTCTGTTTATATTATATCCTAACGTCTTTTTCAATTTCACCCAGACAGACGCTCCTCGATGTTTACTTCCTCTTCAAAAACCTTTAAAATCCTCTTGGTGTGTTCATTTCATCTAAGCACCGTAGACCAAATGGTTTTCAATCATGACATTGCCGGACAAACTCCGGTAAAGTACATCATCATCTTCATCCCCTCGTTCGCCGGGAAATCCTGTGCTCGCTCCCGCGGCCTCTGACCAGCGCAGTCGCCACGCCCACATCCGTGACGACATCACAGGTCCAGGTGTGCCAGTTGGACTGTATTTATAGCCATATAATTTAGAAAACACACTCCAAATATGCGTGTGTGTGTGTGTTTGAGAGAGTGAAGTGAAATTAGTCTGTGCTGACGTGATCATGGGATTAATAAAGACTATGTATCTAATAATTTGGTCAGTAATTAAGCACATATTATGTCAGGGTTCCTACACTGTTTGACCAACTAGTTTTCATGAATTTTCCAGTCATGTGTTATTCGCTTGATACAGATTTTTAAGATTGTACTCTCTATGAGAACTTTCTTGATTTTTTTAGAGATGAGCATAACTAGAAAAAATATATATTCACTTTAAAATGTCCATGACTTTTTTATTATAATTTTTTTTTTTTTTACATTTTTTTGTTAATTTGTTTACTGAGCAGATTCTTATAGCAGTTTCAATATACATTCCCATTAATTTATTATTATAAATATTGTTAATTTCTCAATTTTAGTGAAAAATTATTTATTCACTATTACAATTATATTCACTATAGATTAATTTCTATTACATCTTAATTACTATTATTAATAGTAGGTGCATGATTTATTTTTGTTAATGTTTTGTCAATTTACTAATAGATTTTCCAGCCCTGCAAATCACACTTTTGAAATTCCTCGATATTTCCTGGCTTTCCATGATGGAGAAAACCCTGATATGTGCATGTGCTGAAACAAAATTGATCAGACATTAAATTAAAGGACAAACTGCTTTTAATTTACACAAAGCAGAATCAAAACAAACCAGGACATACATTTAAACTAACAAACTGTATAGGAAAAAAAACGCATGCACCAAATTACTCAATGACATTTTTTATATAGCTAAGACAATAGTATCGAATTATATAAAAAACTAAACACACACCAAATCATTATACATTTGCAAATACACAAGCAAATGAGACAAACAAATACTGCATAAGAAAATCTGACACATAGAGAGAGAGAGAAAATCACACTCACTAATCTGACATGCTCCATTAAAAAAACATAAATAAACATAATAAAAAACAAAAACAGTGGTCTGTTGACATATTTGATTCATTAAACTGTGTTGTTACATATTAAAGGAATTACAACCCTCAGGCAAATGTTACATAACAGAAGACACAGTAACATTCTTGCAAGTCAGGTATAGTTTACAAAATATATCATGACAGTAATATATAATAATAATTTGTGCGATATTCACATTACAAGTTCTATAGGCAAGAGTGTAAGAGGGCAAAATGTTGTAGCTATGTTTGGATGATGGAAGACTTCTTAAACTGAACAGTTATTTTTAAACCTACAAGGAAGACCAGTTTCCTTTAAAAAAGACTGATATATATATACAGTATACAGGTATATATAATATCAGTAGAGCACTATCAAAAATTAAATTGATATAGTTTCTTGAGACTGACAAAAAAGGCAACAATTAGTGTCTAGAATAATTCAAGCAGCGTTTCATAAAGCTCAACACTGCATGACGCCATTCAAGTACATTTAAAGTGGCTCTTCACATGAAATCTCAGTTGATCACACTCAAAGTTGTAAAATTGTTAACTGCGTTACATGTCAAACACAATTTATAACAGCTGTATATATCTGTTCATGCCATAAATGAATATTTGCTCAGAGATGACCGTACTGAAGATGCCTAGTAAATATTAAACTCGTCAGACAAGCCAGCACTCACGCAATATTTCAACTACAATTCAGCCATGTGGAGAAAAAAAGGCAGCTTGTTGAATCCTCATCAATATAGAGAATATGATTTGGTCTCTGGTAGTCTAATTCAGGACTGTAGAACATGTATTGGTCTAGAATAGATCGTGTTTTTGAGAAGATATGTAAGTTAAGGCACTCAGCCCAAAAAGTCCTCTCTTATAATTTGGTTTGCTTGTTTTTCTTTGAGTACAGTAAACTATGACACCCGTTTACACCTGGTTTTAAGATCCGTCTCGGTTGATTCAATCACATGTGGTCAGTAGCCCTACTAAATAGGGTGCAAATGATCGGTTCACTCACTCAAACCACATTCAGAGGTAGTCAGAAACACATGTGACCATGTTGCATTTGTAGTGTAAACGTTATAAGGATCGTCTACTCGCCTGTCTACCATCCATTGTGCTTAAACAAGGGTTTAAAATTCAAAAGAAGAAAAAAATGGATAAACTGCATACTTATGCACAAGAAAGTAACTTATATGCCTGATATCAATATTAGTTAGTTCATATTAATTCTAGTTAGCTTAAAGCCCAAGTAATCAGGATCATTTTTGTGCTTTAAAAAAAATTGTGCTTTATCAAAATGCAGTAACACACTGACATAGTAGGTGATGTACATAGTCATGAGTCCTTTCTTTTGAAATCCTAGCAAGTTGCTAAATGAATGTTAATACCAGGTATAAACGGGGCTTTGACTTTGCTATTGTTTTTAAGCAAATCTGATGTTGAATATTTATGTTGAAATGCAATGTTATATTATACACACACACACACACACACTACCGTTCAAAAGTTTGGGACCGGTAAGATTTTTTGATGTCTCTTATGCTCACCAAGACTGTAGAAATACAAAATACAATTAGGAAATTTAATAATACTTTTATATTTTAATATGTTTTGTATAATAAATGTAATTTATTTCTATGATGAATTTTCAGCATCATTACTCCAGTCTTCAGTGTCACATGATAAAGTTAAAAAGAACAGCATTTATATTTTGAAATGGATTTTTTTTAACAATATATAACTCTTTGCGCTCACTTTTTGATAAATTTACTGCATCATTGCTGAATAAAAGTATTAATTAAAAAAAGACCCCAAAACTTTTGAACGGTAGGATATATAGCTTAACAACATGAATGGACAGTCCCTATAGTAACTTTGCAATCCCACTGAAATAAACCTAAAAAAAAAAAAAAAATTAAGGAAACCTTAATGTTGTAGGAACCTCCTTCAAGACACCTGACCCTCCTGTCAACAGCACTTCAGGTAAAAGAATCACACTCAGTCTGTCAGAGGTAGAACTCTATGAACATGCTTGCATATTAGTATAGAAAACCACAATGGCCCCATCCTTCTTTCAGATGAGGTCAACCACTGTAACAGGGTACAGGGTAACAGGATACATAGCTGGTGGTTGGGCAATCGCATGCACTGAGGTTCAAGGCCTTTGGATGAGACAAGAGAAGAGATTGTGGCCTCTGTTTCCCCCTCTTGGCACTACAAAGTACTGCAGGTTGAATGAGCGCCGCCGCCTCGATACAGGGAGATGCTTGTGGTTTATGACTCCCTCTACCAGCGAGATTTATGAATTGCTACTAAGACGTCTGCGTAAGAGAGAGGCAGGTTTTGTGCCAGTGTCCTCCTGATCGCTCTCACAGTCTCTCTGATTGGAAAACACCAGGAAAATGAAGCATTGAATTATTTACAAGAATTAAGCACATCTGCCCTATATTTCTCATTCAGATCTTTGCCAAAGATAATTGGCATTTAAAGGTGCAGTATGTAAGAATGACAGGAAAACACGAAACTGCAGTCCAAATTCAAAATATCAGAGACCGTTGTTTCCCCCGCCCCCTCCTCCTCAGACTCGAAGCTCACGCGGTTTGCCAGTTTGAGGACACGCAACAGGAGCGAGCGCAATTGACAGCGAAAACCGAGGAGACTTACAGACTGTAAGTTAATGAGTTGATTTAGTATCCGCGTTTTAATATGCTCTCGTTCATATAGATTTTTAGATGGATACCGATGCTTTTTAGGTTGTGTGGAATCTGCAATCTCTGACCAGTTTGTTTGCTCGTTTCCAAGGCTGCGATACGCTGTGTTTCCTGCCAAATGGCAGCCCAGGGTGTCGAAATACTATTGGGTGAACAGGCAGTCGGCGAGATCACACAGACCAAAACAAAACCCGACTGACAACACGGAACGTGTAAAATAATAAGTAACATAACTGTCTGTAGAAGTGTTTTTCAGAGAAACGAGAAAGTGAACTTAGCATGTTTCCTAAATATCTGTAAACATATTATGGTATTTTTATGCTTTAGTAGAGTAAAAAAGTTACATACAGCACCTTTAACATTTTATTTATACTGTACATTAGTGTTTATTGTAATGTCTTTAATTCAGATTTAAAATATTTAATAAATAATTAAAATGATTATTTGATGAAGTTTGCATCATTGACTCTTAATACGGTGAAATGCTTTGAAACAGTTTCTATTGTAAAAATAAATATTAAATAATAAAAATAAAGGTGACTTGACATGAGATTTGGTGGCTTGCTGTGCTTAACTGTTCTTAAAAATAATGTAATTATCTTTTAAAAATAAAAGTACAATAATGGGTTTTATTTTATTTACCTGCTTGATTATTAGTCTAAACTTAAATTTTAAATAAATTTAGGTATGTTTGGGGGAAATATGAACCTGTTTTTATGAGACTCTTACCAGTTCTTGTTGCTCTGGACCGCGGGCCTTACACAGTAACTGCAGTCGACAAAATCGATTACAAGCCGAAACCATGTTAAAGGACATCTACAGAGTGAAATGAGAAAGTCAACAAGATTTACATAGTTAATAAATATTACAGTGTATTTCCACAAAATGTCTGTCACAATCCAGACAGAAAAAGAGCAACAAAAAGGCATCATGATAGGAAAAACATTGACTCAGTGTTTCTACTGAACAGCAGGTGTCTGTCTTTACGCACTGGTCTGTTAGGTCAGAGAAGACATTTGAGTCAGCTAAGGTAGTGTTAGCAACCAGTTCAGACATTTAAAGGAACTGTTCTTTTTACATTCATGTTTTTTTTTTAGAGATTAAAAGCCCCTAGAAACAACTGTTGTTACATGAATTCCTTTGCAAATTATTTTATGTATGATTTATACGAAGTAAAACCCTAGCATGTGTTTGGAACAACATGATGCT